CAGGATTTGCCGTGTTCTAATTTTGCATCCTATTGACCAAAATCTTTTCTCAACCTACCATGATTGATAGTCAAAGACTAATTGCCTTAATAATACTTTCCTTTCCATTAAGAGAGGAAAAAAGTTTAAAAAAAGTCTTTTTATTCCTATCACTTTCCTTAAAACAAGTTAGAAATTTAAGATTTTTAATCCTAAATTAAGACATACCGTTTGAGTAAAGAATACTTACAAAACATCATAAATCATTATCATATAATAATAAAATTATCAGTGATTTATTGATTTGAGTGGAAAGAGTTTAACTCTTCCTAAATAAGATTATAAATTCGAGTATTGTGAATAAAAAAATAAGTGTTGGGAGAGCTTACTTCTTAATGGGTCCGACATGACTCAATTTTAAATTAGTCAAGATTCAATGTGATTATCAGATACCAAGAGATTAATACAAAAAAATATAATAATAAACTTATATTTAACTTTAAATTTTTCAAAAAAGACTTTTTTTTCCCATCATTTCCCTTTCCCTTATCACAAGTTTGAAATTTGAGATTTTTAATCTCAAGTTGAGACACATCATTTGAGTAAAAAATACTTACAAAATATCATAAATCATGTTGTATAATAATAAAGTTATATTTAGCTTTAGATTTAGTGTTGAATCATACTTACATAAAAAATATATATATATAAAAAAATCATTTCACAATGTTGTAATTGAGTGTACTAAAGTCAAACATTTCCCACTGCACCTGGAAAATAAAACCCGTGACCATTCAAAATAGGCAGCCGAATGAAAGCGCCGTATGAAAGCGTGGATTGAAAACGTTCCACAATCCCCACAATTTCCAAAGAAAAAAGTACCAGGCTCTCAATTGTGACAAAATATTAGGCACAGCAACTGCAGCATGTCTGAGGTAGTATACAAGTAGTATACAAGTAACTGAGTTTAGGAACAATGAAATTTTCTTGCGAAAACAAATTTTTTCAGAGCACTAATGTGTTATAGTTTGGTCCAAGATTCTTAAATTTTATTACCGTAAAAGTTAATAACAATTGAGTTCTAATAATAAGTTTCATTTAATTATTAGTTTTATGTCATCGTTAAACTTGTAAAACCACTCGTATTAAAAATAAAATATTATATAATCAAAATTATATAAATTAAATTATTAAATAGAAATAAATTTATTAATATTAAAAGTTATTTTTATTATTTATATTTTATAATTTAACATAATTTGTACCATAAAATAAATTATGTTATGTTAATGTTACTAGGTAAGTGTGATTTTTTTTTTCTTTCATATGAAAAGAAGAGTGTGACTACGAAAATGTCTTTGTAATATAGTGGGTATTATCTCTTGTTATACTAACTTAGAATATGGGGTAGAACCGTAGAAGTCCCACCTCAAGGTTTAAAAAAAATTATAAAAAAAAAAAAAAAGGGAAGAAGAAGAGGGTGACTGCGTCTATATAAGAGTAAATGGAAGAAACTCCACTAGTAAAAGCAGGAGCATTTTCCTTTGATTCTCTTCTTCTTTCTCCTCAATACACGCCTTTCAATTTTCAATCGCGAATCTTTCACTTTCTCTCTCTTGTATATTTGTTAATGGGTGATTTCAGATCTAGTTCATACAGAGATGTGGGGATGCAGATGGAGAGTTACTACGGCGGTAAGTCATCGTCGTCGGCAGCTGTCGCACCCAGTAGTATGCAAGAGCTGAGGTGTTTCAGTACCAGTTATGCCAATCCTGATCAACTACCAAGCCACATGGTTAAAGAGATTAAGATCAAGAAAAGCAAAAGCGTTTATGGGTTGTCGTCTTCTTCATTAAAAAGCTGGAGCTTCAACGACCCTGAGTTGCAGAGGAAGAAAAGAGTTGCCGGATATAAGGTGTACTCGGTGGAGGCCAAGATGAAGGGGTCCTTGAGGAAGAGTTTCCGGTGGATCAAAGACACCTGTACCCAAGTGGTCTATGGATGGAAGTGATTTAATGGGGAATTACTTGTTGGGTTTTCCTGAGCCTTTTCTGGGTTGTGTTTGGATGTATTCAATCATCAAGGAAGAAAATTGGAAAAGTGAAATTTATATAACTAAAGACTACTCCTATAGTTTTATGGATTATTTGCGTGCTCTTTCTGGCTTCTAATTATGACAAATCTATTGAGATCGAAGTGGTTGTTTTTAGTTCATGTTTTGATATGATATCAAGAGCTTTGCTAAAAACGCAATCTCGTATCCATCATCAACGTTTTCTTGTCTAATTGTAATTGTCCAATGACATCCTCTAGGCCTCTACACTCTCCATGTAAAATACATGGTCAAGGCTAGGTATATTGATTGTACCAAATGTTTTAAGTTTTAAACAGATTATATATTTTATAATTATGGATAAAAATAAATTTTCTAAATATAAAATTATCTCAGAGCACCCTTCTATTCCTTTTGTATACAAAGAAGATGCTCAAGGCATCAATTCATCAAACGAAGATGCTTAATATAATTCAGTAGTGGACCGGTTTGGAAGAGGAACTGACCTTTACTTATTTAGGAGACATTTAAAGGTGAATCCGAATTTGCATTTTTCCGTAAACTTTGACTGATACAGGACTAAATTGGAGCACGTCCAAAAAGTAAGGGGCTGCCATTGTAATTAAACTCAATATTTCCTTTGCTTAGCGGTGGCTTCACATCAAAGTCCCTCTCTCTCCTGTGTCTTCAGCTCCAGATCTCTACACAGTCCCTTCTCTCATCTCTTCGCAATTCAGAATTTGTTGATTTCACCAACTATGGCGGCGATCGCAGTTCGCCATTTCGCTCAGAGCATAACTTGCCATGCCTGGAGTCCCGATCACTCAAGTAAACTCTTCTCCGTTTCTGTTTTCGCTCCTTTTCATCTGTTTGGTTGCTGAGAAAATGTACAAAAGGGAAACGAAATGTCTGAGTTTAATTTTGCAATGCTCGAATTTGCATAGCAGAATGTTAAATTAGCGAAAATCTCAAATAGTTTTAATTAAGTTGGATGGAGATGAAATTTGATATATGCTCACTGTACGTAACATGCCTTGTGGAATTTAATCAAAAATGGTACCAATTGTGCTTCGTTTGGGTTCCAATGTTTTTGTGTCTTAAACTAGAGATCTGCTCTATTTTATTTTAGTTGTATAAAGATTTAGATTTCTATGCATGTTTTAAAGTCTTGATTTTTCTTTTTTCCTTGTAGTGATTGCATTTTGCCCAAATAATAATGAAGTTCATATCTACAAATTGATGCAAGAAAAGTGGGAGAAAATGCATGTTCTTCAAAAGGTATTGAATTTGTTTCTTTATTTTCCTAGATGAGTTTTTTTTTTTTAATCAAGATTCTAATTTTTATGTCAACATTGTTGCAGCATGACCAAATTGTTTCTGGCATAGACTGGAGTGCTAAGTCAAACCAAATTGTCACTGTATCTCATGACCGGAATTCGTGAGTGCCTGTTTAGTTTAAATACTTCTAAAAGCAATAACTTTGGAAACTTTAGATCTCTCTCATTGTCGCTGTGTGTGCTGATAGACAAGCAAGTTCATTTTTTCTTGTCTATGTTACCAAGTCCTTTTGATCCCCTTGCACTTATCTTGTTCACCAAAAGCATTGGTTTCCTTCTTTTGAAGATATGTGTGGAACCATGAAGGGGCAGAATGGGTACCAATGCTTGTCATCCTTAGGCTTAATCGAGCTGCACTTTGTGTTCAGTGGAGCCCAAACGGTACTGCAGTGTGATTCTACTTTGTAGATTGTTCTTCACATTTTTGTATGGCACAGATTGCTTACCATTAAATTGATGCGTGTAATTTCATGTATTACTAGTCTTTCAACTTTCTAATACATCATGCCTCAAGCCTTCAAGTATTTCCAATGACTCTGTAGGCTATATTTTCATTGAGTTTCTTGGAGGAATTCTAAGGGATGTGTTAGTCTTATTTATTCATGTAGTTTCACACGAAACTCTTTTCTCTTCAACTCTTCAGAAAACAAATTTGCTGTTGGAAGCGGTGCTAAAACTGTGTGCATATGCTATTATGAGCAAGAGAATAACTGGTGATGTTCTTTGCTTATTCACCTAACATTTTGTTAATCTGGTGGTTTTTTTTTTTTTTTTTTTTTTTATCAATAGTTGCTCTTGTTGTCTTGCTTCTCTTCTCTATATAGGAAGTCTTCTGTGACCAGCATTGTCCTGCTGAGAATTGCATCCTGGGTGGGTTTTACTCATCTAATTCTATCTATCTAGTTAATAAAGGGCTTTAGGCTGCTATATTCAATTATAGGAGTGAGCTTGAGTGGAGGAATGCCTCCCACCTAGAATTGGATAAGCCGAAATTTTGTATATTTGAACTTGAATTATGATCTAGTCTAGTTGCCTAACACACACCCTAATGACTAGATTTTTTTTTTCCCTTGCGCTTATTCAAAGTTGGAGGTCCTCTTAGGCTCAGCCATCTCTCTTCTGTGCATTAGACTTCTTAAGTATTTCAGTCATATATAAGATAATCTTTAGTTAACACGAGTATGTCATGAAGGAAATTAGAAAAACTGTTGTCTGGATGATTCTTTCAAGTTTGTACTTAAATTTGGATATATGTCACAACATTCTCTACCTAATAATTTAAATTATTTACAATATTTATTAAGACTATACATGGTTCTTTGATGATGAAGTGACAGTGGTGATCACATTAGTCTAATTCCAAAGCTCTTTGTCCTCTATGGTTGATGTTTATTTCTTTCCTGGTTGCATTTTCAGGTGGGTCAGCAAACTTATCAGGAAAAAACATGATTCCTCTGTGACAAGTGTTGCTTGGCATCCCAATAATGTGTGTTTTCAAACTATAATTTATTTTCCAGTTGTGCGATTTGCATTGTTTTATTTTATTTTCATATTAATGTACTTTCCTCTTTGCAAACTTACATAATGATCAAACTAGGTCATCTTGCACGAGTTGTCATATGTTTGTTTAAGATAGTGTTTGATTGGCTTTTGAGTCCTGTTCTAGAAGCATGGTAATCAGATAAGTGATGGGGAATGTCCTTCTGCACAAAGATCTGAAGAACTGTAAATATAGGATAGCATATGTGGGAATGCCATGTTGAGAAAGAATAGGTGTTAAGTTGATGAAAACTTTTCTTTAAATGATGTCCCTTCTTTTATGCTTTCTTGGCTTCCTTTTACTGAAACCTTCATCCCAATCTCCTCATATATTAATGTCCAACAACAATTTGAAAGTTGCTTTGCTGCATCAAGTTGACACATTGGAATTAGTGGTTCTCAATCACATTTTCTGATTGCTGTATGGGGCTTGACTTTCCCTGCAGCTTCCAGTAGTTTGTAAACCTATGATAGCACAGTCAATAATATTCAATTATCTGATGCTTCTGAATACACCCTACTTAATTGCTGTTGTATAGCAAGCAATTTAATAATCTATAGCTTTGTTACTTTCTGTAATATTTTACCAAAGCCCACAGTTCTTTTTGAGTGTTATCAATGATTTATGCTACAGATTTTTCTTGCAACAACATCTACAGATGGAAAATGCCGAGTTTTTTCTACCTTTATCAAAGGTGTTGATAAAAGGTGTGTTAAGTATAACAGTCCATTTAGTGCCTATTACTAGTTTTTTCACTTTTCTGGCATTCTCTATATATCACAAATCCACAACATCATTTATGGTTCCTCTGTTTTTTGGCCCAGGGAATCAAAAGCAGGCACATCAGATTCAAAGTTTGGCGAGGTTAAATGTTCTTCTTTTCCTCTTTCTTCTGTGAAGCTTTATTTATACTACTTCATTTTTCATGCATAATTCTCTGATTATGTTGGAAGAACATATAGTGCAAAAGATTATATGGTTAGGCCATATGTTTACTCCTCTTCATTTTGCATGCATAATTTTACCGTGATAAGGCTTCTCAAATGAGGCTTCAAAAAATTTATCTTTCATTAGATTCCCCTGTGTCATGTGTTTTATTATAATTAAATAAAAACAGCCAAACAGGCTTCAGCCTTTTTATTATTTTCTTGTCAGTTTCAGTTCTATATTCTGTTGATGCTAGGGACTAACTTGTTTCCCCCTTTGGGACTTCCTGTTGAACAGCAAATTATTCAGCTTGATCTCTCATTTTCCTGGGCATTTGGTGTGAAGTGGTCACCAAGTGGCAATACCTTGGCTTATGTAGGTCAGGAAATATCTCCAATCACCTATAGCTTGCAAAACTAGAGTCCACAGCATCAGTTGGTGACTTGGAGCAGTCTTCCTTTTAACTTTATATTTAGCAAATTTGGATATTTTAAGTGTGTTATTGATTATTTAACTTCCAGTTAAGTGGAAAAAAAATTTTTTTTTTTGGCCAAACAGTTAAGTGGAAATCTAGGTGGAAACTGTTTAACTTCACATGTAAAGCAATTTTCCATTTTCCTATTTTTAATTTAATTCTATAAGAGCTAATATTGCAGATGTTGTATATTATTATTGATTTTACAGCTTGAACTGGATTTCCTCTTATGTATCTCACATGAGTCCCATTTATGGTATTTTCTATCCAGGTCATAATTCTATGATTTACTTTGTTGATGATGTTGGTCCATCTCCTTTGGCCCAAAATGTTGCATTCCGTAATCTGCCTCTTCGTGATGTGGGTCAGCATCCCCTCTTGTTAACTATTTTTCTTGACTTTTTTCTCCGCATAATTGTCCTTACAAACATTTTATTTGTACTTTACAGTCGTCACATCATATGTAATACTTTCAGGTCATATTTGTTTCTGAGAAAATGGTAGTAGGTGTCGGATTTGACTGCAACCCAATGATTTTTGCAGCAGATGAAACAGGAATATGGTATGTGAGCTTCATTGCCATTATAGTTCTGTTTATCTGCCTGGTAGTCTATATTAATATACTGACTGATGTTTTTGTTTTCTAGGAGCTTCATCAGATTCCTAGGTGAAAGGAAAATATCATCTTCTCCTTCAAAACATGGTTCACAGGTATGCATTTAATTTAAATTTGATATAATTCTTTAGTTCTATAAGTATGAAAATCAGCTGGGTGTGCAGGGGGGCACTGGGACAGAATTCCTCAGCAGGTTAGCAGATACAGGAACTTTTAAATTTTTTATTTGGGATCACTTCTGATTCCTGATTTCTGTTTTCTGTTTCTTTTTCAGAAAAACGAAAATGAGAAAGAAAACTTGTTTGGTTAGAGTTATTAGCTTCCTTAAAAGTGAATTCCTAGAACAGGGTCCCATTAGTTTTGAAAACCAAAAAATCTTCAGATTTTTTGTTTTTGGTTTTCAGATTTCAGATTTCTGTTTTTGAATTTTTGAAAGTGATCCAAACAACCAGTAATCTCACTGTACAATTCTATCAATGGAAGTAGGAAACTAACCTTTATTTTTGTCAAATAATTTAATTTTTGTTCAACAGTTTATTTGAAAATTTTTCTTGATTATCTTGAAAGACATCAACAGAACAAATAACTTAGTTTGTATATCCTGTTGCCTTGTATGGACTGTTACTCTATCTTTGCACACACTGAAGGGGAGGTATCATCTAGTGATACTCTATTATTTCTTTACTGACAGTTCATTGTGCATAAAGTTGAATGATTCATAGAATGCTTTCACAAGTTTTTCAACTCCAATTATGGATTGCATGTATTTCAACAGATGTGAATATTTGATCATTGTCAAAATATATCAGGAATTAAATATCTATTAGGGCCCTACTTATGGATTGCCTTTCCATTTTGTCATGGTTTTTCAGTTCTCTGAAGCATTTGGCAAACTATATGGTCAATCAAAGTATGGACTGAGCAACGATACAGTTGAACCTTCAAGGGCAGATGGAGTGATTCATGAGAATTGTATAAAGTATCTCTCTACTACTCTTCTCCCATCCATCTACTGTTACTACTAAACAGCTACTGATTTCCTCTTAATTTCTTTGATTACCCTTTATGCCCCATTCCGGATAATTCTTTCTGTCTAATCCTTACTTCACCAAATGAAGTGAAGAATCAAGATGA